AATACCTGAAGTGGAGAAAAACAGACTCAGTTTCTCTTATACTCTTACAGTATAGACTGCTTCTGAAACCAGATGTGTAACCTGTCCCCTCCCTCCCCGCCCCCACCCAGCAAGCAGGGAGTTCTTTAGTGAACACCAGCTGAGTGTATTCTAACTCAATTCAGTTCTGAGTCTGTCTGGAGGTTGATCCCACAGATTGAGAGCTCAGTCCCCAAGGTAGCCCCTACCTCAGATGCCAGCCATGCTCTCCTAACTGTGCTTTCACCAACTGGCTATAAACCGGGATTCCTGCAACCCTCCCTGGATTGGATTAATTTGCTCAAGTGGTTCACAAAGCAGAGGGAAATACTTCCTTACAGTTACTGGTTTATCACAGGATATTACAAAGGATGAAGATGAAGAGACGCATCAGTGAGGTAGGAGAAGAGGCTTCATGCCCTCTGAAACCCCCGTCTTGAAATTCAGGACTGGGTCCTTGTTCCCCTGGTATTGAATAAACCCCCGGAGGAAAGCCAAGGCAAGAGCGGAAAGTAAATTTTATTTAAGAAATAAAACAGAAAGAGGGGAGGGAGGGAGAGAGGGAGAGCGAGAGAGGGAGAGGGGGAGAGAGAGAGAGACTCCTCCAGAAAGGAGGGGGTCCAGAACTGATGCCCAAGAGAGTGGGAGTGTTTTGCACCTTTTATAGATTTCAGGTTTCATTTCTTCTCGTGTCTTCTTCACCCACCTTGCCTATGTGACCAAAAATGACCAGAAGGGCAGGAAGAGAGCCCTTTAGGAGGTGATTGCTTCTGATTCCTTCCCCTCCCCCAGAGGTTGTTAGCAGCCAGATGATGGGGAGTGCTGTCTACCCATTTCCTTTTCTTTGATAATTAGCTACCTGGCCTTTGCCCCATCTCACCTGCACACTCCAGGAACCTCCACAGGTCCAGCCACCAGGCTCTCAGAACCCTGTGCTTTTGGGGGTTTATGGAGGTTTCTTTCCATGGGTGTGACAGATTAAATCACTGGCCACTGGTGATCCACTTAGCCCGCAGCCCCTCTCTCTTCCCTGGAGGTTGACTCTGCCTTGGTCTTTCAGGGACCAGTCCCATCCTGAAGCTGCCTGGGCTGCCAGTCAGCAGCGGGCTCAGCAGCGGGCTCAGCAGCGGGCAAGACATATCACTTCAGAGATTTCAAGGACCTTAGGAGCTGGATGTCTGATTAGGGGAGGAAGACCAAATATATTTCACTATATCACACTTGGGGAATGCTTTCAAAGCTTGGATAAGTTTAGAAATCTGCCCAGTTTTTACTGTTTCTGATCCTTTGTTAACATCAGGCATGTTGTTAGTTATATTTGATCCAACTGAATAGTTTCCTTCTCTTTCTAACTTTCTGGAAGTTTTAACATGGTTGAGTGATGAATTTCTTGAGGTTATTTTTTCTATCTGTTATGGTGATCATAGAGTTATCCTGTTTCTCTACTGGTAAGATGAATTACATAGATTAATTTCCAACATCATCTTCCTGAGATGAATACCGCGTTCTTAAGTTTTATTTTACCCCCTATTTCATTGATACAGTTCACTGCAGATGTTCTTGCTCCTCGGTGTTGAAGATCACACCCTGGAGAGACAAGGAAGCAAGCATAGAGAGCGAGTTTTATATAAGAAAGTGATATAGACAGACTCCTCTGAAGGGAAGTGGGGCTGCAGAGCTGGAATCCCCTGGGGGGGGGGGGGTGCGACTTGCTTTCTTATAGACTCTGCTTTTTAATGATTGTCTTCTCTTTCTTCTCTGTATAGGGGACTGAGAGCAGGGGTGTGAAGGTTAACTGTTAGCAACATGTTGTTCTTTCTTTGATAACCAAGCATTATCCTTTCTCTCTGGACCCCCATCCTTCATTATCTTCACTGACTGCCTGACCTTTGCCCCTGCCCCAGTTTGCTGAGGAACATGATATATCCTGTCCACTTAGGCCAGGCAGGGTTGCAGGCAAAGAAAGCATGTAGGGGTCAGCATAGTGAGCCCAATTATAGAATCATTCTCAGCCTCGAGTTCCTACTATCCTCATCTGTTTCTCCCCTAACATTGTCAGATGTGAGTTGCTGATATTTTCATAAGGAAGACCTATTGGTAATGAGGTAAAATGGAGAAGAAATAAAAGGTAGGTAGAAAGGCCTCCTTCTCACAAATGTTCCTCTAAAAAAAGGGCACCCCTCACTCTTGAGATGGCTCGAATTCTACTCTAGAAATGTGCATCTTCAAGCCCTTTCACTTTTTTAACAAAGTTTTTCCTCTGCTAGAATCTGACTTCTCCTTAAATTCTTTTCAGGATATGTCAAGAGCCTGAAAGATCCAAGTAGAAGTCTCTTCTGCCTCTGTGGAGATCTCCAACCTCTATGCATTCTGTGTTATCTTCTTGCAAGCTCCTTATTGGCTTGGCGCACGAGTTATGTGGCCTTATGAAATGAAGGACAGGGCACTTACTCTTACACTGTTCTTTATACAATTGGTATTATTTCTTTCTTAATGTTTGACAGAATTCACCAGTGAAACTGAGACAGGGATTTAGGGTGTATAGAGAGATACTGAGTCTTGAAGGAAACGTCCATGAGCCATTGAGACACAGAAAGCACAGTGGGAAACATCAAGGGACATGCACTGGGCCATACCCTTGTAAAACGAGGGAAATTCACTGGCATAGACTTGTACAGCTCCACCTGCCTCTGCCTCTTGTCCAGCCCCAAGCACCAGCCCCTATAAATATGAACACCTGCACCAATAGGTTGGTGTCTCTCCCTCTGCAGAGCCTGCCCTCTTCCTCGGGTGCATGTTCCTTGCTTTACCCAGAGACATCTCTCTTTTGAGACTAAGGCTGTTCTTCCTTGAAGAGCATCTGCTTTCCTAAAGACACCTCCATTTACACCTTGGACTGACACATTCTGAAACTCTTTTCCGTATTGTGCCAAAAACCCCTCTGGTCCTGAGTCAAGTTCTCCCTTTGGGAACTCCTCAGACACTTCTTGGGAGATGTCTCTCCTCCCATGAATCTCTCTTCTCTTCCTCATTTCTCTTCTCTTCCTTTTTATGTCCTTCCAAACCTTTTTTTTAATTAAATTAAATTGATGAATTATTTATTTAAACCACCTAGATCATATTTTTTGCTATGACAAGATCTTAATTACAGATTCAATTTCTTTGTAAAGCAATTCATATTCCTTTTTGTGTGGCAGTATTGTGAATGGAACCCAGGAGTACTCTACCACTAAGCCATATCCCCTAGCACTTTTTATTTTGAGATAGGGTCTTGCTAAGGTTTCCAGGCTGGCCTTGAACTTGCAACCCTCCTGCCTCAGCCTCCTGAGTTGCTGGAATTACAGGTATAATTCATACATTCTTAACTTTTTTCTTGCCTTAGTTTCAGAATGTTTGATTTTTCAAGTGTTTCCATTTCATATAAGTTGTCAATTTATTGATGTTGGGAATAATATCTACAAGCCTTTCATGATCTATGGTAATCTTTCTCCCCTTTTCATTCCCAATATTGGTAATTTGCATTTTCTCTTTTTTTTCTTTGATCATTTCTTGTTAGTGATTTATTAATTTTTTAAATTAAAAGAACTAAATTTTGGTTTTGTCAATGTTTCATTTTTTTCTGTTTTCAATTTCACTGATCTCTGCATTTCTTTTTTCTACTCACTTGAATTTAGTTTATTCTTTGCTTTGAAACTTTTTGAAATAGAAGCTTAGATCACTGACTTCAGCCTTTCCAGAAAGATTTGAGAGCTGTCGTTTCTATCTAACAGCTGCTGTATTTGCTTCCTACCAGTTTGTGTTTGTTCTAATTTCGTTTTGATTGACTTTTAATATGGTCTAATTTCCTTTTTTCTTTTTTGGATCCCTGTATTACTTCAGCACGTGTTTAATTTCCAAATATTTAAGGATTTTGAGGTTATCATTTAATTATTGATTTTCTAGTTTTATTTCTTTGTGTACAGAGTACTGTGTGTGTGTGGGGGGGGTACTAGGGATTGAATCCAAGGGTGCTATACCACTGAGCTACATCCACAGCCCTTTCTATTTTTTATTTTGAGATAGGGTCTCACTAAAGTTGACATCTCTCATCTCTTCCTCATCTCTCTTCTCATCCTTTTTATGTCCTTCCAAACCTTTTATTTTTTAATTTAATTAAGTTAATGAATTATTATTATTATTATTATTATTATTATTATTATTATTATTATTATTAGGTACAGGGGATTAAACCCAGAGACACTTTACCAATTTAAAAAACATCTACAACAGCGATTGCTTCTCCTTTTGATCTTGTCAGTTTTTTTAAATTTTTTGTTTAATTAATTTTAAAGTTCTGCTAAATGCATACACATTTAATATTAAATGTTTCTGTTGGATAGATTCTCTTATTATCATGCAGTGCCTTCTTCACCCTTAGTAACTAACATTCATACTTTGAGCATGATATATCTATTTCTAATCCTTTGTTTTCACTGTACCTGTGTTTTCATATTTTTACCATGTGTTTTTAACCATGTGTCTCTAAACATGCATCACTGTATAGCTGGAACTTGTTTCTTTCTTCAGGTCGACAATCTGCCATGTATGATTCCTACTGTATTGAACAGTGCAGAGCATCCACACTGCTGAAAGTTATCTTAGCTCTCAGAAATTGAGATCAGGATTGATTTTGAGTCAAAATTCCTCAGGTCAAGGCAGAATATTATGGAAAGAGAAATATCATAATCTGATGTGCATATTTGCCATGTCCTTACTACAGATTAGCTGAGTATCTCTAGGCAAGTATCCTTACTGCCTTGAACCTCCATCCCCTTCGTGAACCATGGAGCTAACAGCTCTGCTCTTTCTGCTTCATAAGTGCTTGTGAGAAACATTAATGGTAATGTGCTTTACTAAGGTTAAAGCAGTCTTTTAACAAACAAAAATCATTACTCTTTTAAAGCAGGTTGACTCAGTTTTCTGTGTTTTCTTTTCACTTTTAGATTGCTGACAGAACTGGAATCGCCTTCATGGTGGCCTTTCAGCTCCAAGCTTTGGAAGACACCAGTAGAAGTAAAGCCCAGGGAAAGCACCTCCATGGCTGGTTCTGAGCCATTTGGAAAGGAGGGGGTCGTGGCCAAAATCCCTGCTATTATTTCCCAAAGAACAGAGTTCCATGTTAAGCCAGGAAGGCTCACCATCCTGGTTTCTGGGTTGGAAATCCATGACTCCAGCTCTTTGCTCCTACACAGGTTTGAGAGAGAAGACCTAGATGACATTAAGGTGCACTCGCCTTATGAAATCAGCATTCGCCAGCGGTTTATTGGAAGACCAGATGTGGCCTATCGAGTGATATCTGCCAAGATGCCAGAGGTCATTCCCCTTTTAGAAGTACAGTTCAGCAAGAAGATTGAGCTGCCACAAGAGGCCTCTGTGCTCAGGAGCACAGGGGCTTCTTCCTCCACAGAGAGGAGCTGGTCCTTCTGGCATGCAGGTAAGTGACCCAACCAGATAGCCCTTGTGCCCAGACATAAAGCAGTTTCTAGCTACTCTACTCAGTCTGGACACTGCAAGTTTGACTGCTGAGTTATACCGTATACTCGATAGACACTTGGATTTCAAAACTGGTCAGTGCCATGGTGGGATTTTGGATATCCCCTAAGGACCCCTGTGTTGAATGAAGGCTTGGTCCCCTGGGTGGCACTACTGAAAGGTGGTAGAACTCCTTAGAGGTCGGGCCTGGTGGAAGGTCCTTAGGTCATTAGGGATATGCCCTTGAAGGGGATTGAGGGACCCCAGCCCCTTCCTGTCTCTTTTGCTTCCTGGCTTGTGATGAGGTGAATGGTTTTACTCCTCCTTGTGCTTGTGTGTGATGTGCTGCCTCACCACGGGTCAGAAACAGTGGGATTGCCTGATCTCCAATTGGGAACCTCTAGAACTGCATGCCAAATTAAAACTTTTTTCTTTATAACTTGACTCAGGTATTTTATTATAGGACTATATGTATTATTATATGTGTGAATTCATGTTGTTATAACAAAATACCAGAAACTGGAAACATTATAAAGAAAAAAAGTTCATTTATCTTATGGGTTTGGAGGCTTAAGGCCCAAAATGGAGCAGTCCCTTCTATTTGGTCTCTTGTGAGGGCCTCATGGCAGATGATATTGTACTAGGAGTATGTGTGAGAGGGAGAGGTCATATGGCAAGACAGAAAGCCAGAGAGATTCAGAAGTCAGGCTTGTACTTTTATAAAAACTTGACTTTTCAGGAACTCATTAGGATCTCATAAGAACTACTTTAATCCCTTCTGAGGGCAGCACCCCAATCACTTAAGGACTTCCCACTAGGCTGCAACCCTTAAAGTCCCAGCACATATCAACATTACTACAAGGAGACCAAGCTCTGAACACGTGACCCCATATACACCTTCCACATCTGAACCATAGGAAGGGGCATTGCTAGTCGTTCAGAATAAAGAAACTCCACATCCACTGTCCTCTCTTCATTTCCTCAGATTGATTCAAGAATGAGGACTCACAGCCCTAACCTGGCATAAGTTACCTCTGCTGGTGGGCCACCCTCCCCATGCCTCCCAGCCATCCAACCTCCCCTGGCTCAAGGCATGAATCTACCAAGCCAGAGACCAGGTATACTTTCATTGAGAACATGGCAGTGCCATGAGCTTTCAGCTTTCTCCAGATGCTCTACAATGGGGCATTGTGGAGCATGACACTAAACTAGATATGACCTGAGAGTCCAGCAAGAGAGGACATATATTTGGACATGCGTTCATCCACCAAACTCTTGAGCCATTCCTGCATAGGGACTGGGTAAGGGTTCATAGAGAGATGGAGACAAACATGTAAAAAATCACATGCTACGACACAGAACAGAATACAGGTATTTGGTATGAGAAAGAAAATTGTCACAAGAATACTCAACCATAAATATCCATTGAGATGTGAGTTGAGGGCAAGAGGGATCGTGGATCTGCCCTTCTACACTGAAACTGAAAAGAGGGGAATTGTTGGACTTCAAAGAGACTTGCCATCTTGGTGAGGTAGTGACTGTCCTAGAGGAGTGGGCAGTGGGAGGTCCTGGGTGTGTGACTGCATGAAGGAGTTGTGCCATCTTGTGGAAGTGTGACTGTCCTAGAGGAGTGGGCAATGGGAGGTGACTGGATATGTGAGTGCTTGGAGGAGGTGTGTGGCACTTGGGGAGGTGGTGACTGTCCTAGAAGTGTGGGCAATGGGGAGGTGACTGGGTGTGTGACTGTGGGGAGGAGATGTGGCACTTGGGAAGGTGGTGACTGTCCTTGAGGAGTGGGCAATGGGAGGTGCCTGGGTGTATGACTGCAGGGAAGAGGTGTGTGGCACTTGGGGAGGTGGTGACTGTCCTAGAGGAGTGTGCAATGGGGAGGTGATTGAGTGTGTGACTGTGGGGAAGAGGTGTGTGGCACTTGGGGAGGTGGTGACTGTCCTAGAGGACTGTGCAATGGGGAGGTGATTGGGTGTGTGACTGCGGGGAAGAGGTGTGTGGCACTTGGGGAGGTGGTGACTGCCCTAGAGGAGTGTGCAATGGGAGGTGCCTGGGTGTGTGAGTGCTTGGAGGAGGTGTGTGGCACTTGGGAAGGTGGTGACTGTCCTAGAAGTGTGGGCAAGGGGAGGTGACTGGATGTGTGACTGCGGGGAGGAGATGTGGCACTTGGGAAGGTGGTGACTGTCCTAGAGGAGTGGGCAATGGGAGGTGCCTGGGTGTGTGACTGCGGGGAAGAGGTGTGTGGTACTTGGGGAGGTGGTGACTGTCCTAGAGCGGTGGGCAATGGGGAGGTGACTGGGTGTGTGACTGTGGGGAGGAGGTGTGTGGCACTTGGGGAGTGGTGACTGTCCTAGAGGAGTGGGCAATGGGGAGATGACTGGGTGTGTGACTGCTTGGAGGAGATGTGGCACTTGGGGAGGTGGTGACTGCCCTAGAGTTGTGGGCAATGGGGAGGTGACTGGGTGTGTGAGTGCTTGGAGGAGTTGTGTGGCACTTGGGGAGGTGGTGACTGTCCTAGAGGAGTGGGCAATGGGAGGTGACTGGGTATGTGACTGCGGGGAGGAGGTATGTGGCACTTGGGGAGGTGGTGACTGTCCTAGAAGTGTGGGCAATGGGAAGTGACTGGGTGTGTGACTACTTGGAGGAGATGTGGCACTTGGGGAGGTGGTGACTGTCCTAGAGGAGCGGGCAATGGGGAGATGACTGGGTGTGTGACTACTTGGAGGAGATGTGGCACTTGGGGAGGTGGTGACTGTCCTAGAGGAGTGGGCAATGGGAGGTGACTGGGTATGTGACTGCGGGGAGGAGGTGTGTGGCACTTGGGAAGCAGTGACTGTCCTAGAGGTATGGGCAATAGTGAGGTGCCTGGGTGTGTGACTGCTTGGAGGAGGTGTGTGGCACTTGGGAAGGTGGTGACTGTCCCAGAAGTGTGGGCAATGGGGAGGTGACTGGATGTGTGACTGCAGGGAGGAGATGTGGCACTTGGGAAGGTGGTGACTGTCCTAGAGGTGTGGGCGATGGGGAGATGACTGGGTGTGTGACTGCTTGGAGGAGATGTGGCACTTGGGGAGGTGGTGACTGTCCTAGAGGGGCGGGCAGTGGGGAGGTGACTGGGTGTGTGACTGCTTGGAGGAGGTGTGTGGCACTTGGGAGGTGGTGACTGTCCTAGAAGTGTGGGCAATGGGGAGGTGACTGGGTATGTGACTGCGGGGAGGAGGTGTGTGGCACTTGGGGAGTGGTGACTATCCTAGAGGAGTGGGCAATGGGAGGTGACTGGGTATGTGACTGCGGGGAGGAGGTGTGTGGCACTTGGGGAGGTGGTGACTATCCTAGAGGTGTGGGCAATGTGGAGGTGCCTGGATGTCTGTCTGCTTGGAGGAGGTGTGTGGCACTTGGGGAGGTGGTGACTATCCTAGACGTGAAGGCAATGTGGAGGTGACTGGGTGTGTGACTGCGGGGAGGAGGTGTGTGGCACTTGGGGAGTGGTGACTATCCTAGAGGAGTGGACAGTGGGAGGTGACTGGGTATGTGACTTCGAGGAGGAGGTGTGTGGCACTTGGGGAGTAGTGACTGTCCTAGAGGTGTGGGCAAGGGGAGGTGACTGGATGTGTGACTGCGGGGAGGAGGTGTGTAGCATTTGAGGAGGTGGTAATTGTCCTAGAGGTGTGGGCAATGGGGAAGTGACTGGGTATGTGAGTGCTTGGAGGAGAACTGGCGCTTGAGGAGGTGGTGACTGTCCTAGAGGAGTGGGCAATGGGGAGGTGACTGGGTGTTTGTCTGCACGGAGGAAGTGTGTGGCACTTAGGGAAGTAGGGACTGTCCTAGGGAAGTGGGGACTGTCCTAGAGGAGTGTGCAATGGGGAGGTGACTGGGTGTGTGACTGCCTGGAGGAAGTGTGGCACTTGGGTAGGTGGTGACTGTCCTAAAGGAGGGGACAATGGTGAGGTGACTGGGTTTGTGACTGCGTAGAGGAGGTGTGAGCACTTGGGGAGGTGGTGACTGTCCTAGAGGAGGGGATAATGGGGAGGTGACTGGGTGTGTGACTGCATGAGGTGTGTGGCACTTGGTGAGTTGGGGACTGTTCTAGAGGAGTGGGCAATGGGGATGTGACTGGGTGTGTGATTACATGGAGGAGGTGTGTGGCACTTGGGGAGTTGGTGACTCTTCTAGAGGAGTGGGCAATGGGAGGTGACTTGGTGTGTGAGTTCATGGAGGAGGTGTGGCCTTTGGGGAGGTGGTGACTGTCCTAGAGGAGTGGGCAATGGGAGGTGGCTGGGTGTGTGACTGTACGAGTTTTGTGTTGTATCCTAACCAGTTCTTTGTTTTTTGTTTTCCCAGACAGTGGGAATTTTGAAGTCTAATAGGTGGTTTGATTCATGCAGCAGTACGGTTCTTTCCCCTGTTGTCTCTCTGTGTTCTCCTGCCCCTCTATGTGCCTGTGGTGGTGTGGATTTATTGTCCTTCTAGAGTCTTCAGATGTCTTCAAAATGAGGTGTCTCTTCAGTGCTGCTCCAGTGATACAGTTGCCCACCCTCGCTAGTTCCTGTTGTGGGCCTGGGTGTAGGAAATCTTTGTGACACTCTTCTGGCCACAGCATGTTAGTATTTATTGAGTCGCTGTTGAAGGAACATAGGAAAGAGACGGTCACAGGGATCCTGTGTTGGGCATGACACAGGGTTTCCATCTCAGTTATTTTTCACTTCTTGGGAGGACTCTCTGGAGGATATGGAGGGTATGCTCTAGGAAGTCAATCTTCATTTCTTCCCTTCCTTCCTGTCCATTGCTTCAATGAACTCAGGACCTCCTGCGTAGTAGGCAAGCATTCCTCCACTGAGCTGCACTCTCAGCCCCACTCTTCACCTCCAGTGGCTTGGTGTGCGCACCTTGCAGGGTGGCTATGGGGGCCAGTCCTGGCCGGTACCATTGCAGAAAGCATGTGCTGGGTCTCAGTAGGAAAGATAGCCTAAGAGTTGCTGGGACTCAGTAGTGTTCCTGACCTCAGGCTGGGGTGAAGCTTTCCTCAAACTGTCATCTTCATGTGCTGCTGTTGTGTGTCTGTCTTCTTTGTTTTTACTGCTTGGAGTTGGAACGTGCTGAGGCAGTAGGGGTGGAAACCATGACTCGCCCTGGGTGCAGTCTGGTGGAGGCGCGCTGTGCGCATACAGCCACATGGGGGCAGTGTCGCAGTGTCGCAGCCAGTCCTCTGGTTCCTGGGGTGAAGTTTTCCAGAGAACTGTAATGATGTTTCAGGCAGATGGGGAGAGGCAGTGCTCACTTCAGGAGCAGAGCCAGGGGAATGGGAAGACAGGACAGCATCTGCCTCAGGGAAGTGCAGTTGTAGATTGCTGCTTTTCTGCTTAGAATCCTCAAAATTGCCTTTAGAGTTTAGAATAGTTTCTAGTTTGCAGGAAAAGATCTGAAGATAGTATAGGCCAAGTATCCCTTATCTGAAAGCTAAGGACCACAGATGTTTTGGATTTTGAATTTTTCAGATTTGGGGATATTTGCATAGATAGTGAGATATCTTGAAGCCAGGACCCCAGTCAACATGGAATTCATTCATGTTTTACATAAACATTATACACACAGCCTGAGGGTAAATTTATACAATATTTTTCATAGATTTTGCACAAGAAACAAATTTTCTTGGTGTGGGATTTTTCTGCTTGTGTCATTTTTGTGCTCGGAGTGATTGGATTCTGGGGTTTTGGGTTAGGGATATTCACTCTCAATCTGTACAGAATTCTTTATCCCCCATTTCTTTGTGCCATTGTTAGGTGCCTCCTCATTACAACCAGGGAGCACCCATGGGTGTTTCCCACTATAGACACCCTTGTCTCTATCTGAAATCCTCTTCTGTCTCTAGAGCCCCCTAGCCTGTGATCCTAGACTTTCTGGGCTTCCCCACTCTGATGATGCCTGAGAGTCCTCCCCGGTGCTCTTAACAGCCTCTGGAAGGACTGGCAAGGTTCCTGCTAGAGTCTGTGTCATGTGTTTTTGTGGTTTGCCTGGGGTGTGGTTTGGAAGGCAGCCACACAATGAGGTGCCCTCCTCTCACATCCCATGACTTAGCTTGTACAGCATTTTCTATGGATCATTTGTTAGCAGATTCTGTCGTAGCTGCTTGCTGCTATCACCTGCTCAAAGAGGTTTCCCAGAACCAGGATCAAGTAAGCTCCCAGAACTTTTCCTATCCACAGCACTTGTGCCTGTGGTCATTCATGGTGTCCCCAGAACCAGGCAGGCCAGGCAGCAGGAGGCACAGTGGTGGACGGCTGACTATGTCTTTGCAGGGTCAGTTGCTCCTGGCTGGCTTCCTAGGCAGAGGAGTTCTGGCTTCAGTTGAGGGGATGCAGGCACTGTGCTATACATGACAGAGCCCTGGGGTCCCAGGTCAGGATCTTTGGGGATGCAAGCACTGTGTTCTGCATCAAAGAGCTTTTGGGGGTCTCAGGACAGGTTCCTTGGAGACACAGGCTGTACAATATGCATGACAGAGTTCTTAAGTATCCCAGGATGGGGTCCTGAGGAATGTAAGCATGTGCTGTGCATGAAGTGCTCTTGCGTGACCCGAAGCCTGTTGGAGCTTCTCAGTCCTGGTCCACCGACTTCCTTGGAGACTGCCGTGCCTGATTCTGCCATACTTTTTCATCACTTTGAAAATACAAGTGTCTGTTGGGGTCCCACGAACTGCTGTCTCCTTGTGTTTCAGCTTCCTGTGCTGTCCTTCCCACACGGATGGATGTGCACCTTCACATTTTGTGTTCCTCTGACCCATGTCTCTCAGAGCTTTCCATGTCCCATCCCACATAGCCTGGGTAGAGGGGCATTTCCCCGGGTGCAGATGAGACAAGGCCTGGGCCCAGGGGAAGGTCTGCCCAGATAGCGTGCTGGCAGGTTTCCCTCTGAGCCTATGCAGAGGTACAGCTCTGTGTCGCATCTGCAAGGGAAGTCCCCAGGCTACAGCTGAGCCTTTGATGCATGAGGAGGGGACTTCCTGCCACCTGGTACAGTGCAGAGGCCATTGCTGGGGCCAGTGTCTGTGTTCTCTCTTCCAGCATGACCTCGCTTAGGACTCTCAGGCCTCCTTATTCCAAGAAGGTACAGTTGTCTTTTTTCCCCTTTTTGGCAGAGCCATTTTTACTGTTTTTATTTAACTGAGATTATTAATGACTGAAGAGATAGCAACAGGACCACCATACTTTTCCTCAGATATTTTAAAACACTGCATGACTGAGTCAGCAACCAGCCCTGGAGATGGAGCCTGTGACTTAGCTGAGTCCCAACTGACCCTGCGGCTCAGAGAAAATATCCCCATGCCCTTCATGCACCTGTGGGTAATTAGTTATATCAAGAAGAACACTCCTGCTTCAGCCTTCTGGTTGCTGAAGCAGTCTTGGCTGTTGGAATTCAGTCAGTCAGTATCTCCCTATAGCCTTGGGTGTTGAATGAAAACCCAGCCACATCTCAGCAGCACCAGGGCTCCACTGCCCAGAGCATGTGCTGGAGCTGGGACCCCACATGAAAGGCTCTTAGGAGAGCTCATACCAACCCAGGGCCACCAAGGCTGTGGGCAGAGATGCAAGGACTGTAGAACAGTGCATGGCTCGGTGCAAGCCAGCTGAAGGGGTCTGCACTGCCCTAGACACCTGAGCAGAAAATAGGGGATCCCCTGAGTCTGGGATGGGTTCTTCCTGCAGCCCACCTGGCAGAGCCTTTTCATGCTGCAGTCTTGTCCCCAGCCCTGCTATCCTCTGCTTAAGCTGATGACAACTGTGAGACACATCTTTTGTATCGTCCAACCTCATTAGCTGCAGACCCTGCTAGCTGCTGCAGGGCAGTGCCTGGATGTTTTCTTGCAGAGAAGTGCTAATTAGCAGGGCCCTGAAGCTACTGGGGAGCTTTGCAGATAGCATCTGCAACATTAGCACTTGGCAAATACTCTTCTTTTTTTGTAGTTGTTTAAGAACAGAATAGGAAAACACCAATCCAAGTGATATATCCTAAAGGTGCTATTTTGTGAGACCTGGCCACTCAGACATGCAGAGTGGTCATTAGTTAATGGCCCTGACTTTCTAGAGTGTGCCTCTCACCTCCCTTGGCTCCACGCCCATGTTCTCGTGCATGCCTGTTCTAACCCCAGCCACATTCATCCTGGTGGGGAAGCCAATTCTGCTCAGTCTGGCACTCTCAGGGGAGGTTACCTTGAAAGATTATTGTAAGAGGTAATGAGACTGGAGGAGATTTTGTGTGTGTGTGCTGGAGGTGCCTAGTGTCTTTCCTGGAGAGGACAGTGAAGTGCAGTTTGTTGGAAAGTATTGAGCCTAACCCATTTTGTTCCTGCCTTTCATGCCCAACAAGGCACCCTCTTCCCATGTGCTTTCTTTCCAGTTCTTTTCTGATATGTATAGCAGTGGCTTCCAGGCTGCTGTATCTTGTCTAGCTCAGAGGAAGGCATGAAGGTCACAGGTCCCTCCTGTACCAAAGGAAAGGGCTGCTTAGCCAGCGCTGTTTCCTTCCACTTGGCCAACTGCTCCATATCTGAGGTGGCTTGAACTATGGAGAAGAACAAAGATCGGACTTCAATTGCAGCTCTTATCTGGCCTGTGAAGTGCTGGGGTTGCAGTTGGAGCTATTCTCTAAATAAAGGACAAGTGACACCCCTATGAGCAGCCACCAGGAGCCACACTTCATGGGGACTTTCACACTGTTTATGGCGCACCTCCCTGACTTAGAGATTGCCCAATGTGCAGGTGTTCTGTGAGTCCCGCAGCTCATGGTACCCCAAACCTCAGAGATGCCACATCTTGCCAAGCCCGGCCACAGGGCAGCTCTGACTCACCCTCTACCTCCGCACAACCTTACATGCGGTTTCAGTTGGCTCTGATAGCTGGTCATTTCCTGTGCTCTCTGGAACCACTTGCTCTGTGGAATATCCCAGATGTCCCTGAAGTTTCCTAGTGATGTGTTTTATGTACACTTCACCAGGTTTCAAAGGTTCTTGTGTTTTAGACTCCAAATCTTCAGTCTTTACTCAAAGAAAAAAATAAATTGGCCAGGCGCAGTGGTACACACCTGTAATCCCAGCAACTTGGGAGGCTGAGGCAGGAGGATCACAAGTTCAAAGCCAGCCTCAGCAACTTAGCAAGGCTCTAAGCAACTCAGTGAGACCCTGTCTCTAAATAAAATTTAAAAATGGGGCTGGAGATACGGCTCAGTGGTTAAGTGCTTTGGGTTCAATCCCTGGTACCAAAAAAGAAAAATTGATCACTCTTGGATAAATGACCTTTTTTTAGAGATAGTTATAGAATTAGTCCCTGAGTATCTCATGAGTATGATACCAAACAGTGGTCTTGGGTGGGGCGCTCAGCTCAGCAGAGGTGTGGGGATGGATACTTGTAACGTGCTTGGACACGCGCCACCAGGCCAAAGTGCTGGGGCAGTCTTCAGTGTTCCTCTGTAAGGCTCTGAATGTTTGTGTGTGGTTTGTGTCTTCCGAAAGATGTCACCACTGACCTCAGCTTTCCATTCCAGCACCCAGGCTGAGGGGCTGTACCACACAGCGGGAGCTGCCTGAAGGAGGCCAGGAAGGCGGGCAACTGCAGCTGCAGAGGGATCAGCCACTTCTCTCTGAGAGGGAAACCCAGGAGTTGACACAGGTAAAGGCTCCCCAAGTGCCCTGTTAGGCTGGTGGCATTTCTGTCCTCCCTGCAGACTCTTCTTCTCTCTCCTGCCTGAAGACAGGGTCTCTGTTCATTTGCACTGGTTGCTGCTTCTGGGGCCCACTGTTTGTATGTTCCCTTAGTGTTCTCAATCCATAGATTTGCACACCATGCCAGCCTGCTCCTATGCAGACAGTTGCCCTGGCAGCTCTCCACCACTGTGTGTATGAGTGTGTATTGCGTGTGAATCATGCATATGTGCACAGTGCATGTGTGCCGGGCTTGTGCATGTGTGTGCACCCTATCGTGTTTGTACAGACACTGTGCACATGTGTGTGCTAGGCATATACTGCACTGTACACATGTGTGGTCCATGCACTCCGGCTTACTCAGGTTTTGTACTTAGCATTGGGTTCTGAAGAAGGCTTACCACTTTTCTCCAGAAATTGAAATTTGAATATTTGATGTAAATACCTTTAAACCTGTCTTCCTACAGTTTTGCTGGACAATGTAGTGGCTTTTTCTTTCTCTGATAGTTTTAGTAGTAGTACCTTGTTGTCATATCACTGAAATATTTATTTCAATATGTATCTTTAAAAGATAAGAGCTGTTAAAAGATAACCATGATACCATTCATATCTTTAAAAATAAATAGAGTTCCTCTGTATCACGACTGCTGAGTTGCTGTCATGTGTCTCAGTCCTCCCGTGACAGTGCATGTCACTTGTGTGCCCAGACCAGGGCCTCTACCTACCTCAGCACTTGGGGGATGCAGTATATCTCATGGGGGCTGTCCACTTCCATTAGGAGTTAACCTGTGCTTAAAAACAAATTCTCATTTTATTTTTCCACATAGGCACAAACTTTTTTGAGTTCAGCTTTATCCTCTGTGATGCAGGGGAGAAAAGCATTCATCCTTTTTTTTAAAAAAAAAAAAAACAGAATTTTTTAATAACTTTTTATTTATTTTTTATGTGGTGCTGAGGATGGAGCCCAGTGCCTCACATGTTGTAGACAAGTGCTGTGCCGCTGAGCCCCAGCCCAGCATTCATCTTTGTTATGGGATACATGACTTATCACTTTTTCCTCCTGGTCTAACTTGGGTCATTTTCAGACATGGCTCTCAGACACGCTGTTGCTAGTTGTAACTAGTCCACTCAGCAGGCCACCCCACTGGTCACACTGACAGCTGAACTCACTGGGTAAAGGTCAGATTTGTGTGTTTTGAGAAACTAGTGTATCAAGGCCTGTGCACCCAAGTTTCCCCCATCATTCTCCTGAGAGCTTATAACAGCATGCGAGCTTTGGGTGGGTAGGGTCTGAGGGTGCTCCCATGCCTACCCCGTCATGGTGTTGTGTCCCACAGTTGTGTTCAGGTTGAAGTAGACCATACTTTGGATGAAAAGAACAGATTTACCTATTAATTCTGATGGTGACCATGTAGTTTGAGAGGACCCTTCCTGTTTACAAATGTCCCATCTACCAACCTGTCCCATGGACTCCAAAGCAGAGGATGGGATAGGACATATCAGGATGAGCGTGCAGAGGGCTGAGGGCAAGGTGGGGCTCCTAGTGACTGAGCTGGGAACAGTGGAACCCTGTGTCAGAGCTCTTGTTCAGAGCACAAGGTCAGAGATGGAGGGAGAGGGTCAGTGGTCCTGTGGCCCGGCAGGGAGGGCTCAGGTGGAGCTGCAGAAGCAGGGAGGAGGCTGATGAAGTCTGTGTTCTGGTCAGGAGGAAGGCCTGGTTTCATGTGAGATGGTCTTTTGGAGGTGAAACAGATGTTTCAGATTTAGAGAGGAATTCTTAGCTATGTAGTTGGAGCTCATGCATAAGTAGGAATGAGTTAAGTTTCTGGGGTAAACAAAAATGCAGGAAACCATCCTCCATCCAGCTGTGGTTGTGGTTGCAGATGCCATTAAGGCATTACATGGAGACGTGTCCGGAGATTTAAATTGCAGTTAGGGGTACTGTGGGGAGGTGGCCAGGATTCCACAGGGACGGGAATGGGCTTTGTGGGTACCCAGTCTGCAGGCCCCTGAGGTCTATAGCCATCATCTGTCACGTCACTGTGGCCAGGAAGGATGAGCCCAGGAGGCCAGAGGGCAGCCAATCCCATGGTGGGCTTGGCAGAGCCCCTCGACTAGCCGCAGAGTCTGTGCCCCCTCAGAACTGCTGCTGTGCTGGGTTGACAGGATCTGCAGAGGCCACATCATTGATGCAGGGTTTGAAAGTGGTAAAACAAAACGTGGCTCTTGGCTGTCCCCAAAGCAGGGCATTTCAGATTCACAAGAAGTTGCTTCATGTCCGTTTCTCTGTCCTGTCCTATCCTGGGTCTGGAGTTTCTTCATTCCACCTCCTGTTTCACTGGGAAGCAGCAGTGGAAATGGAGAGGGTGGGATCCATGGGGTGCAAGAGCAGCAGGGTGTGTTGAAGGGCTGCATCAGAAGACGAGGCCCTTATGTGTAGCACCCTACGTGTCACTGTGATAAGAAAGCACAGGGGCCCCTCAGAGGTGGGGGCACAGGAAGTATCTGGTCATGTCTGAACTCTCATGCTATGTGAGGACACTTTATCTGTCTGCTCTATGTGATATTATCACAGTAAACACAAGACACAAAAAAGAAAAGCAGCTTGATTTGCTCAATCTAACAAAAAAAAAGTCTTATGATTTCAGTGAAGAGCAAAGACAGCTGGTGGGAGGGTTGTGAGGAGGAGAATGTGTGGCCCTGCCAGGCTCGTGCAGGCCCCTGGGCGGCTCCAGACCTGGGAGAACACAGTGTTCCTGTCGTGGTGTTTGCACCTGTGGAAACCCTCTGCATTCTCAGCCCAGCCCCACGTGGGCTTGCCTTAGTAGTTTCCTGGAGCTTTCTGGGGTTTTCTACACTGACTGTGGACGATCTTAAGAAATTCGTGTGCTTCTGTCTTTGCATTTTCTTTCCTTTCAAAAAATTATGGAACACATTTAATCATCTTCAGTACCTACCTACCTACTGTGCCTGGTGCCCTGGCTTTAAACCTGCCTCAGTCCTTCTGTGTACACTCCCCATTGGAGAAACATCACTCAGCTTTTCCTGTATACTTTGTCTATGTCAGATGATCACAGTCGATGGTGTCCCTGAGCCTGAGGTAAACGTAAAGACCAGTGAGTTACGATCCTGGCTTCCATGCACTCACTGTCTGCATAGAGATGACAGCCTGTTTCTCTGCATGACTGCCAGCATAGGCTGCAAAGGAGCCAGTATGTGTCCTGGAAGAAGTCGCACTGTCTCAGGCAGGACAGCCAGGCTGACCTCCAGGGGAGCGGGCTCTGCTCTGCGAGGGTTAGGGTGGAGGAGATGCAGAGTACGTGCTGGCACACGGCGGGGTTTGCCTCCTCTCCTCGGCTTCCTCACACTGCCGCAGCTTCGCTCTGAAGGCTTTCCAGACCATCCATTCTTTCCCTCGTTACAGGGCATAGCCAGACGTCGGCTTTGGGGGTGAGAAGGGCAGTTAATGTCATTCTTATAGACAGCTTTGATTTCAATCCAGATGTTAGTTGCTGAACTCAGCTACATATCTCAGTCACGAGTTGAGCATCCCTAATCCAGAAATCTGAAGTGATCCCAAATCCAAATCCTTTAGAGCACCAATATGATGACGCCACAGGTAGAAAATTCCATACCTGACCTCACAGGATGGGTCACAATCCAAATGCAGGTACACTAAAAACATTAATAAGATCACCTTCAGATTCAGTGTATAAGGTATGCATGAAACAGAAACAAATTTTACATTTGGATTTGGGTCCCATCTCCAAGATATCTCATTATAATGTCTATGCAATTATTCTAAAATTAAAAATGCTTCTGGTCCTGTGCAGGGGAGGACCTACATGTACTTTAATTGTTAAGTGCTCCTGACAACATGGCCTATGACTTCTCTGAATGGCTTTCAAGAATAGCTGTTGGTCTGTTATAGCATGTGTCATTGCTTCATTTTGCTATATAACTTTGGATAGCTACATTTTGCTTATCTATTCATTTGTTGATGGACAGTTGGATTGTTTCCAACTTTTGGTTACTGTGAATAGTGCTATGTGAATATTCACATATAAGAAGCAATTAGGTCCTGACTTCTAGCTCTCCTGGGTGTAGAAGTGAGATCCCTGGCTCACATGGTAACTCTAGGCTTAGCTTTTTGGTGAACCACTGTACTTCACAACAGCTGCAACACTTTGCCTTGCTAACAGCAGTATATGAGAATTCCAGTTTTGTACATCCTCACCAACACTTACTTTAATTAAAAAAAAAAAAAAAAAAAAGCCATCCTTGTAGGTATAAAATGGTATCTCATTGTGGTTTGCTTGTTTGTTTGATTCTTGTTTGGGGCACTGGGGATTGAACCCAGAGGTGCTCTATCACTGAGCCACGTCCCCAGCTGTTTTCATTTTATTTTGAGACGGAGTCTTTCCAAGTTGCAGAGGCTGGCCTGGAACTTGTGATCCTCTTGCCTCAGCCTCCTAGGTGTGTGCCGTCGCCACTCCCAGCACTATTCTATTAAAGTTTTAGTTTATAAAGGGTGCGGATAGGAGCAGCCAAATGAAGAGACACAGTGAGGTTCCAGGGGATCCCAAGTGTGGAGCCTCTGTGCCGTCTCCCATGGAGCCAGCACATCACCCTCCAGTCACATCAGCGTGGCACCAACCAAGACGCTCCATTGGGCTTCAAGGTCCAGAATCTTTACTGGGACTTCATTGTGGGGCATCATTGATTAAATCATCAGTTCCATGCCTGAACTGAATCCCTAGCCCCCATCCTTTCCAGGAGATAGGACTGGGATCAGGTGGCCCACAGCCCCTATCTCCAGTCACCTGGCTGGTCTTTCCAGCTCTTCCTGTGTTTATGTCATTGCGTTTGCATAAACTCAGGTTTGGTCCCAGTACTCTGGATAACAGTCCCATTGCTAGGAAAATTTCAAAGATTTAGTTTTGTCCCCAGGAACCAGGGACAAAGGCC